AAGGCAGTCGCTTAACCAACTGAGCCACCCAGGCGCCCAATACTCTAGAATTCCTAGATGCGAGTAAGCTTGGGTTCTAACATTGTAATATTCCAGAATTCCAGGATGCTCATGAGCTAGTGTTCTCACACTCTGGCATTCTAGAATTCCAGTGTTCTAACCTGCTGGGGTTCCGACGTGGCACTATTCCCGCAGCGAGTTCTAAGATGGTAGTCTTCTAGAATTCCGATATTAGGATGCACTGGAGATCGGAAGCTGTCGCAGTCCGGCGTCCAAGCGGCTAGTGGGGGTTCCCACACCCGGGGATTCCAGGCGCCTGAGGGTTGCGTCAAGGAGCTCCCACGATTTCTCTCCCGTTCAGGTGTCTGGGGCCTGGATGGAGAACACTTCTCTCAGCTACGAGTACGCGGATTACGACGGGGTTCCGGATCTCCCCGTGGACTGCGTGGACGGCCTCTGCGTCTCCACCGACCCGCTGCGCACCGCCCCGTTCCTGCTGTACGCCGCGGTCTTCCTGGTGGGCGTGCCCGGCAACGCGATGGTGGCCTGGGTGACCTGGAAAGAGGCCCGCCAGAGGGTCGGCGCCACCTGGTTCCTCCACTTGGCCGCGGCGGATCTGCTCTGCTGTGCGTCTCTGCCCCTCCTGGCGGTGCCCATCGCGCGCGGGGGCCACTGGCCGTACGGGGCGGCGGGCTGTCGGGCCCTGCCCTCGGGCATCCTGCTGTCCATGTACGCCAGCGTGCTCCTTCTGGCCGCTCTCAGCGCCGACCTCTGCCTGCGGGCCCTCAGGCCCGGCTGGGGGGCGGCGGCGGGGCGGGCGCGCGGGGTGCAGGTAGCCTGCGGGGTCGCCTGGACCGTGGCCTCGCTGCTCACCGTGCCCTCGGCCATCTACCGCCGGCTGCACCAGGAGCATTTCCCTCACCGGCTGCAGTGTGTGGTGGACTACGGAGGCTCCGCCGTGGTGGAGAACGCGGTGACCGCCACCCGCTTTGTTTTTGGCTTCCTGGGGCCGCTGGTGGTCGTGGCCAGCTGCCACGGGGCCCTTCTGTGCCGCGTGGCCCGACACCGCTGGCCACTGGGCATGGCCGTAGTGGTGGGGTTTTTTGTCTGCTGGACCCCCTACCACCTGCTGGGGCTGGTAATCACCGCGGCTGCCCCGCACTCCGCGCTCCTGGCCGGGGCCCTGCGGGCTGAACCGCTGGTCAACGGCCTCGCTCTGGCTCACAGCTGCCTCAATCCCATGCTCTTCTTGTACTTAGGGAGGACTCAGCTGCAAAGGTCACTGCCAGCCGCCTGTCGCCGGGCCCTGAAGGAGTCACAGAGCAAGGATGAAAATGCGGTCAGCCAGAAATCCACCAGCCATGATCTAGTCTCGGAGATGGGCGTGTAGGCTAGAAGGAAACTGGTTTGTGTGAGTCCATCCGATTTCGCAAGGCTAGCTTCAGGCATAGCTGGATCCAGCAGCTCAATGATATCATTTCCTTATTTATTCATTCAACAAGCATTCATTACGCACCTCCTATGTGTAAGGCCTTATTGTAGGCACTGGGGAAGTAGCAGTGACTAAAACAGACACGAATCCCTGCCCTCAGGAAACTGACATTCTATTGGAGGAAGACAGGCAATAAGCAAAGGAAAAAGAAATATGGAATATATCAATCAAGTGGTGACAAGTGCCAACCTAAAGGGGACAAAGAGGACTGAGTGGGGCAGGGATTTAGGTAAGCTAGGCAAGGCCCATTGGGTAAGGTGATATTTGAGCCAAGACCTGAGGAAGGGAGGAAGGAGTCATGCTTAAATCTGGCAGAAAAGCATGTCAAGCACAGGGAGCAGCAAGTACAAAGGCCCTGAGGCACAATATGCTTGGCCCATTTCAGGAAGAGTGAAGAGGCCAATGTGAATGAAGCAGAGGGAGCAAGAGGGAAAGTGGAGTGAGACGAAGGGAGAGAGGTAGTGGGGGGCTGGATCTGAAAGCCTTCCAGGCCATAGCAAGTGTTTGGAGATCCGTGGCAGTGTTCTGAGCTACTGTTATCAGATAAAATATACAACACCAAATTAAATTTGGGTTTTGGGTTTCAGATAAACAACAAGAAAACGGGGGGGGGTGTTTTTGTTTGTTTGTTTTGTTTTGTTTTTTTAGCGTGAGTATGTCCCATGCAATATTTGAAACATACTTCAAAAAATTATATGTTGTTGGGGGTGCCTGGCTGCTCAGTCTGTAGAGCTTGTGACTCTTGGTCTTAGGGTTGTGAGTTCGAGCCCCGCATTGGGTATAGAGATGACTTCAAAATAAAATCTTTACTGGTGTCTGGGTGGCTCAGTCGGTTAAGCGTCCAACTCTTGGTTTCCACTCAGGTCATGATCTCAGGGTCATGGGATCAAGCCCCGAGCCAGGCTCTATGCTCAGCATGGAGTCTGCTTAAGACTCTCTCTCCCCTCCCTTTGCCCCTCCCCACGGCTCGCTCTCTCTCTCAAATAAATAATAAACATCTTAAAAAATAAAATCCAAAAAAAATTAAGAAATAAAAATTATTTGTTGTTTATCTGAAATTCAAATTCAAATTCAAGAGAGCATTCTGTAAATTTTTTTTTTTCCTAAATCAGGCAACCCTATTCTGAGCAGAGAAATGTCTTTTTTTTTTTTTTAAAGATTTTATTTATTTATTTGACAGAGAGAGACACAGTGAAAGAGGGAACACAAGCAGGGGGAGTGGGAGAGGGAGAAGCAGGCTTCCTGCTGAGCAAGGAGCCCAACACGGGGCTCCATCCCAGGACCCTGGGATCATGACCTGAGCCAAAGGCAGATGCCTAATGACTGAGCCACCCAGGCACCCCAGAGAAGTGTCTTGATCTGACTTAGATTTTAATAGGATCCCTCTAGTTGCTGGTGGGGACTAGACTATGGGGGTGTGGGGGAGGGACATGAGGATCTTCTGCTTTAGCAGAGAGACTACTGCCATGGTCCGAGCAAGAAGTGATGTTCACTTGGGTCAGGGTACTAGCAGAGGCAGGTGAGAAGGTGACAGATTATGGCTCTGTTTTGAAGGAAAGGCTATGTCCTAGCTCCTTAGCTTGGTAGTCGAGGCTTCTCTCTGCCACTGAACACACTTACGTTCTAGCTGTGCAGACCATTGTGGCGGACGGAATAACAGCCCCCTAATGAGGTCCACATCCGAATCCCCTGCACCTGGGAATATGTGACCATACATGGCAAAGGGAACTTCGCGGTTGTGATTAAGGGTCTTGAGGTGGGAAGAGGATCCTAGATTATCTGGGGGGGCCCAAGGTAATCACAAGGGTCCTTATAAGAGGGAGGCAGGAGGGTCAGAGTCAGGAGCAGGAGATTTGACAGTGGAAGCAGATATCAGAGTGATGGGAGGAAGGGGCCACCGGCCAAGGAATGCAGCCCCAGAAGGGGCCTGCCGACACTTTGATTGTAGATGCCTGACCTCCAAAACTTTAATGGAATAAATCTGTACTGTTCTGAGTCGCTAAGTCTGTGGTCACCTTGTTACAGCTGCCAGAGGAGACCAGGACAGATCCTCTGGGCTGTATCATTTTCATGCCTCTAGGCCTTTTCTCAAGCTGGTGCCGCTGCCTAGCGTGCCCTTGGGATCGGTGCCGCCCTATCTGGTAATCACCAGCTGTCGGTTCCTCTTCGGATGCAAATGAATTCAAGTAAAAAATTGAGTTCCTCAGTTGCACCAGCTGCTAGTTCGAAGCTCAATAGCCCAGTGTCGCTCGCGGCTGCCATACGGGGCGGTGCAGATACAGAACCTTTTCATCACTGCAGGACGTTTTACGAGACAGGGCTTCTCGAGGATCTCATCCGCTCACATCTCAAAGTCATTGTAGTGGCACCTGAATGTAGGGTCATTACTACAGGACTGCATCTTCCATAGAATTTCCCCTTTAAGGTAAGTCCTACCCCAACACAGGGAAGTAAGGGGAGATGCTTCCTTTTATAAGACGAGGCCCAGAGAAGGGAGGTCATTTGCCCAAGATCACACAGCAAAGAAATGATAGAACTGAGATTTGATCCCATGTTCACTTGACTCTAGTGCCCATGCTCTTATCTCTGAAATCTTCCTTCCTTACTTTGCTCAAATGACACTTTCTCCAGGGAGTCCTCTCTGATTCATTCCCCTCCGAGGGAGGGAGTAGTGTTCTCTTCTCTGGTTTAAGTTTCTGGAACACAAGTTCCCAGGTACGCTGTAAATTCCCCATGGGCAACATCTGAGCCATTTTTATTTTTATTTCTTCTCCACCCATTCCCAGGCCTTAGAAATAACAAAACTATCTTTATTTGTCTACATCCAGTTTTCCAACTAGACTGTGAGCTCCCCAGTGATGAAGCTCTCTTTCTTGCTATCTCTTCTTTTAAAAAAAAAAGATTTTGTTTATTTATTTGACAGAGAGAGAGAGAGAAAGCATGAACAGGAGCAGGGGGAGTGGCAGGGAGAGAGAGAGGGAGAAGCAGGCTCCCCGCTGAGCAAGGAGCCCAACACAGGGCTCAATCCCAGGACCCCTGGGATCATGACCTGAGCCGAAGGCAGACGCTTAACTGACTGAGCTACCCAGGCGCCCCGATATCTCTTCTTTCTATTTCTGGTATAGGGACACATAGTAGGTCCTCACCAATACATATTTTAGTCCTGGGGTTTTATTCAGAATTGACATGCATGAGTTATGAAGACCAATTCTCCCTTGTAGAATGAATTATGTCCTGGGACAATTTACAGAGCTTTATGAACAGCTGGGGGAGAAATCCTGTTGTTAATCCACTGGGGCCAGGTGCCATTTAAGAGAGCTCTTCTTCAGTACATTTATAAAAAGTCTTTTGTGGTTTTTTTAAAATTTATTTTCATTTATTATTGCATCAGCCTTTTTTTTTTTTTAAAGAAGAAATCAATTTCACGGAAGCTTTCAAATGTAATGCTTTTTTAAAAATTTATTTTATTTTATTTTTTTTTTAAAGATTTTATTTATTTATTTGAGAGAGAGAGAGCACATGAGAGGGGGGAGGGTCAGAGGGAGAAGCAGATTCCCTGCTGAGCAGGGAGCCTGATGCGGGACTCGATCCCAGGACTCCAGGATCATGATCTGAGCCAAAGGCAGTCGCTTAACCAACTGAGCCACCCAGGCGCCCTAAATTTATTTATTTTAGAGAGAGTGCGCAAGAGCGGGGGGAGGGACAGAGGGAGGAGAAGAATCTTCAGGCAGACTCCGCACTGAGCATGAAGCACGATGCAGGCCCGATCCCAGGACCCAGAGATCATGACCCGAGCAGAAATCAAGAGTCAGACTCTCAACCGACTGACCACCCATGTGCCCCTTAAATGTATTTCTGTGGAACTTGGTCATTAAAAATAATCTTGCTTTTTATGGAATATTATGCAGCCATCAAAAGGAATGAGATCTTGCCATTTGCAACGACGTGGATGGAACTGGAGGGTATTATGTTGAGTGAAATA